AATTTTTCCTGTATACACACACACACACACACACACACACACACACACGCGTGTGTATATAATTTCCTTTTCTAGCTTCTCTCCAAGCCCCTGCTCTCTCTCATTTTGTACAAGACAAATATGTGGCCATTATGTATGTGGTCTCTTGGTCGTATTTATTCAAAGTGTGAATTGCTCTTAGTGTGGCTTTTATTACGGTAATATTTGTATTTCTCTCTTCCAATTCTTTTCTGAGTACTGCTACCTTCCTCTCATTTCCTTCTATTTTCTCATCATCTCTTCTTTAAGTTCTCTTTTCCAGGGCAGCTGGTTGGCTCAGTCAGCTAAGTGTCCAGCTTTTGATTTTGGCTCAGGTGTTGATCCCAGGGTATTGGGATCTAGCGCCACATCAGGGAGCTCTGTCCTGACGACACAGAGCCTGTTTGGGATTCTCTCCCCCCCCCCCCGCCCCATCTCTCTCTCTCTGTCTCTCTCTCTGTGTGTGTGTCTGTCTCTCTGTCTCTCTCTGCCTCTCTGTCTCTCAAAATAAATAAATTGAAAAACGAAATTCTCTTTGCTTTTGAGAAATCATGTTTTCTAGAATTGCTTTGCATCTGTAGAGGGTTTTTTTGTGGTTTTGGTTTCTTTTGTTTTTTGTTTTGTTTTTGTCTAGAGTCTTCCTGTATTTTTTGTGCAATTTCTCCTTGTGATGTACTTTTCATCTGCTCTTGGCTTCTGTTCCTTTCCTCCTCGTATTATGTGTGTAACTGTTGCTGTTGCCAGTTTATGCATAGGACCCATGATGGGTTGTGAACATGCTTGATTTTGCCCACACGTCCACACTGTCTCTGGCTTCCACATTATCTGAGTCTCTGTAGTGATGCTCCACAGCTCCTGAGGCCTCTCCCTAAGTTTCATCGGTCTAGCCAGAGATGTGTATTCTATTTGTCTATGCCTTTGCAGACTATGATCCTTGACCCACGAGCAGTCTGATTCTTGCCCCCTTCCTGAGGAGGCATTGCTGACCCAGCTGGCTCCCTACCCCCATCCAGACACGGCTGGACAGCATCCTAATTTGCGGTTTGGAGTTGCTGCAGTTCCCAATGCCGTTTTCCTCTTTGAAGCAAAGCCAGCCCATCATTCTTCTGTGTGACTAGAGAGGGAAAGAGGCCAAGGCCTTGACGGAATTTCCTTTCTTAAGTAGGTATCTTTTGCAGGCGGCTGATACCTCGGCATGAGCGCAGAGCACCCCTGGCTCCAGCCTCCCTCTGGCTGCGCCGGTCACAGGGAGCTCTGGACTGGCTCTGGCCCCTTGGACGGGCAAGATGAGGCTTCTTGGGCAATTCCTGAGTCTGAGCTGTTCTCAAATCATGAGCCTGCAGGGCACTAGATTGTGGACCTTCTCATTCACTTCAGAACAAGTTAAAAGAGAACGTGACCTGAAGCAGCCCCTGGCAGGCCAAGGTACTAAGGAGCGCAAGGCGTCAGGGCAGCATGTCCCGGGAGCACAGAGTGGAGCAAGGGGCAACAAGGAGCCAGCAGCCAGGGCCGGGCAGCCAGGGCCGGGAGGTCTCTGTGAGCAGGGTGGGTCAGGGCCTTGTTCACGGCCAGGCCGCGGTGTGCCTGCCGGTTAAGGTTCCTTCGAAATCGGAACTCCCTCGCAAGGGAGACAGGTGATGTAGCACAGGGATTATTACCCCTCTTGGTCCAGGGACAGCTCCTTTGGGGCCTGATTACAGCAGAGCTGGCATGTGGGAAGCAGAGATGGTGAGAACTGGAGGGGAAAGAACAAACTGGAAGCCACACCTGCGTCCCACCATTTCACACCTGGATGAGGCAGGTGACCTGCAGGAGGTGTACTTGTCCCCATGGAGCCACACTCACCCCTGGCCCAGCACTTGGAGAAGTGGAAGGAGGCAATTTGGTGGCAGCAGCAGGTCAAGAACACTTGACCTATACTGACCTCATGAGTATGTTTGTAAATAACTCTTGCTTCATCTCTCCCTTCCAATTCTTATGCAAATTTCTCCTGCGAGCAACCCTAACTCAGGACAGTACAGGACAGGGAATTCTGGGAGAACTAGTTGCAGCTTAGCCCAGTGGACATGCTTTACTTGATAAATGCTGTCCTCTATCCGGGGGTGCCTCCCTGCTTCCTCTGCCCCTCCCCAACACCCCTGTATGTGGTGAAGGGTCATCCATTTTGTTTCAGAAGCACGTGTGTCTTTGGCTCCCAGAGCCTCCCACAGTGCTGTCCACACCTGCACCTGTCTCCACTGGTGCTGGGGGGGGGGGGGATGGCTGAGAGAGAGGATCACTGAGGGGGACCGCCAGGGGCCAGTCCTGTGGAGAGCACAGCTAGGAAGCGCCGTCCCTGCAGCAGTGCGGGAGCCAGCTCAAGCCTGAGTTCCTGGTGTGGCCCTCTTGGCAAGCTTCCTAAGTCCACCGAGATCCCAGCACATCTGGAATGCACCAGATGGCAAGAACAGCAACTTAACACAACAATGATGAAAGCTGGCCACTACGGGAACAAGCATGCACTGCGTCTCAGCCCTAAACCTTCGAAAAGACAGCTGTGGGGCCCGCAAGGTGGCCGCTGGGACATAGGCTCACCAAGGTCTCCCTCAAGGCCACCCTGAGCCTAGATCCCTGCTTACCCAGAAATTGTTGGCTCCCTGGGGACCTGGCTGCTGGGAGAGTCTCTACAGCCCTGCCCTGGTGGACTTGTCCCCTGAAGCCCAGTGTGGCCATCAGAATGTGTTTGCAGAGCAAGACTCAGCCCCCTGTGCCAAGCCCCTATTGGGGAGCTGCTCAAGGCCAGTTCCCGAGTGCCCTCCAAGAGCAAAACGTTTCCCTCCTCCCTCAAGCAGCCAGCAGGTTTCCCTCTATTTCATTGTTCGGGGCGCTCCATAGTGGGGTCTTATTGGTCTTCTGCTGAGTACAGTCACTCCCTCTACAGACAGGAGCTGGGCTGGGACTGGAACAGGCATGCGGCCCGCTGGGGGTGCCAGCAGCAGCTGCACTAGGCTTCAGGGAGGGCAGTCCTCTCTCCAAGCTGCCACTCTTAGCCAACTGTCAGCCACGGATCTGGCCCCACCCACTGCAAAGGGTGTGACTGGTGGGGTAGAGCCCCCCGCACCAACTCCTCAGGACTCTACCAGCTGCCCCAGAGTACAGACAGGGACAGGAAGGAGCTAGACCGACGTGGACTTGCACTGTGGGCCAGACAGAGGGCAGACGAAGGAAACTGAGAAGGAAATGTGAAAGATGTTATCAAGGCCTGTGAAGACGTCTCTGACTACCCCATCTGGAACATGAGTGAAGCACCAGAAGCTCTGGGGAACTGGGGTCAGGAGCTCCCCCAGCAACCAGTCTGCTCACCCCCTCAGCAGGCTGATGTCAGCCGACGTGTTCTTCCTCTAACACACACACAAACTTCCCCTGGGCCTGGGAGGGCTTCTCAGGCAGGGACGTGCACCCTGCTGCTCACCCCAGACTGGGGGTTCCCCGCTCTCCACCAGACTGACTCCCGCCTCAGTCTTCAGCTGTAGCACTAGTCCCAAGATACAAGAGGCAAAGGCCCACCCACACTGCCCCATGCCCCAGGGGTCTACACCGGGAGTTCCCCAGGCCTGCTTATCCCCAACCTGCCCTGGAGGCACTAGACATGGCCCCAACTCCCAGCTGCCAGTACAAATGTCTGCTCCTGTGCGGACAGTGGGTGCTCTTTCAGCAGGGGTCACTCGGTCCCTCCCGTACTGTGTCATCTTTAGCAATCACATCCCCCTGAGCTGCCAGCAGCACAGATTAGCTGAAGAATGGCAGGTGTCTCATGGCTGTTTGGGGAGGGCCAGAGAGCCAGTCCTGGAGGCTTTGCAGAGAGGAACAAGGGTCTGAATCACACCGCTGTGCTGCACTGAAGGCACTCCTACGGCAGCGGGCACAGACACTGTGACTTTCGGCACTGACGCAGGACACGGATGCTGCCATGGGAACCGCAGCTGCGGCTGCTCCTCGGGAGACAGGTCTCGCTGCCCCTGCTGCTGCCAGCCCATCTGAGAGCAATCTGTGGGGCCCCCACTTCCTCCCATCTCTGGCCTCAGAGTCATCTGATGGATGGGTCCTGCTCATGTGCCTAGGCCCTAGCTGCAGCGGGAGCTGGCGGAGTGCCAATCTGGCATTTTCTGCTCCTTTCATAGGTGGCATCATCAAATGGCAAATTCCTGGGACAGAAGGAATGAGCAGTGTCCACCGGGATCACCCAAATTGTCTGACGACTTGCCACTGTCCTTAGTGTGAAACCCAACTACCCCCCCATTCCTGAACATTACCCCTTCAGAGAGCAAACCTTCTCCTCCCCCAGCTCTTGTGGGTCCTCCTTCATTGTGCATCCCATTAGCCCCATCTTTTTCTTTGCCTTGAGAGTTAAGTCTTTTTGCAGGTTGAGGGGGTATGAAAATGGACCCATTCTCCCAGAAACCCCACAAGTGTCTAAAGATCATCAGTTGCTCAGTAAGTACTGTCAATGTTATTCCATGCTAAGATTTTCACATTTAGAATACTTCAAATTAAAATACATTTGTTTTTTTTTTTTTTTTTCTCAAAAATCCTATCACTTTTTAATGCTGGCTCTGTCACCAAGGATGCTATAGGCTTTGGAGACATGACAGCTCTTGGTTGAATGGTCCCACTCCATGCATCACACACCTTAAACAATACTCAGTCCCAGGAACTGGAAGCCAGTGACCCCTCAGCCTGGTAGGGAAAAAAACAGGACTACACCCACTCAATTTCAAAGGGAAAAGGACCATCCCAAGATGAGAACCAATGGAACCCCAAAACTTTGTAATTCACCTATCAAATACAAGAAAGGCCCTGATCATATCCTAGTTTTCCTGGCAAACTGCCTACCCTAGCTTCTCACTGGAGAAGCCTCCCATAGGTGAACAAGAATTTTTTTCTGGCCCCCTCTCCCAACCCCAGGTGACCCTTCCCTCGCCCACCCATAGCAGAGGCAAGACTCAGCTGAAACATTCAATGAACTTTATTGAACATAAACACTTAGTGAAGAGAGGGAGTGACAACACAGACAGAAACGTCTAACGGCCACTACAGCCCACAGGTCACGGCACCCCTCCTCTCGGGGCCCCAAACGGGGTGCCAGTCTTCCCCCCAACACCGTGGCCCTCCTGCCATAGTCTCCCCTCCTGAGGGCCCCACGATCGGCCTCTGGCCAGGATGACGGGCGCTGGCCATGGACCCTCACTCCAGGGCACCCTCCCCTCTGGCCGACACGCTGGGGCCTGGGCCTGGCCTAGGGCCTGCTCAGGACAGTCACAAGACTCTGGAAAACGCAGCAGGGGACACGCGGACAAGCCAAAGAAACGGAGTCACAAGTGACAAGAGAGTGGCACATCGGAGCGCGGTTTTGGTGGAGACTCCCGCAGGCCACCTCTGTCCTTGGTCCAGTTCTTCCTTCCTGAGGTCACGGGGTGAGCACCAGCCGCGCCGCGCCCTCCTCCGTCCTTCCCTTCCCGCCGTCTCCTGGGACTGGGCTCCAGAGGCCTCCGGGGCGGGGTGGGGGCGGCTGCTCAGATAAGAACACGCGCATACACACACACACACCTCCCCAAGAACAAGCAGCGGCTGGCCTAAATCTACACCAAGAAAGCAGATAGATGTTGAGCTCACGACACTGCACGAGAGCGAGCAGAGCCTGGGCTCGCGCTGAAGCTCGTGGCACGCACCCGGGCTGAGAGGTGGCTGCTGCCTTAGGCCAGGACACCCACCGCGGGCTCCTGCACACCTCGGGGCTCTGCACGGGAATGGTAGCTAGCGTGTGTGTAGGGGGAGCAGGGGGAGCGCCACTTGACACGGGGGGTCACTAAGGGGCCTACAGAGACACAAGTGGGCTTCCCAGAACATGGAGCAACGTGCTCCAGGGGTCAGTGAGCGAGCGACCTCCTCTTGGGAGGCCCGAGGGGCTGGCACCCTTGAGACGGCCCCTAACATCTCCCAGGCCAGGGTGGGTGGCAGACATTTTCAGGTGCCCCTCGCAGAGGCTAGGGCCAGCCACGCAGGGGTGTTTCCCAGGCTGGCTGCCTGAACTGGCAGCGTTTGGGGCTGGCGCTGGGTGTGGAGCTGCCATGGGAGGGGGCACCTGTCCCTGCCCCGTCTCGCATCAAGTATGGTCGTCCTGGTCCGCTGGGAGGGCCGACGGTGGCGGCTGGGGTGCCCTGGGAAGGTGGGGTCCTGGGAATTTGGGCTCGGTGGGTTGTTCCCTCCATGTGGGGTGAGGCTGCTGCCCTGGCGTGGCCTCCCCCTGCCTCTGAGCCTATTTGCCCGAGGAGGACTTGGGGGAGCTCATCCCCCCAGCCCCATCCTCGTTTCCCGACTCCTCCGGGATGGGCGTGAGCCCCTCCTCCAGGGGCTCCCCAGCCTCCTGGGCTCCTGCCTGAGCGAGGCCCTCTGGCTCACAGCCAGGACCTCCTGGGCCCTCCCTGGAAGTGCTGCCCCTCTGGGTAGGGCCGGGGCCCCCAGGCGCCTCTGAGGGTCTTGCCTGACCTGGGCCCGCAGAGGTGGGAGCATTTTCATCTTCCTGAGTGGCAGGGAAGCGCTTGGGGGCCTCCTCGGGGGCAGGGGCTGCCCTGGCAGCATCACGGGTTTCAGGAGCGGCCGCAGAGGCTTCGGCAGTGCCAGGAACCGCCTCGCTGGCCCCTAGGTTGGCCAGGGCAGCCTGGGAAGCACCTTTGCTGGCCGGGGGCGCCCAGGCAGCGGCCGCCCAGGCAGCGGCCGGGCCCCCAGTGCCCGCACAGGCCCCTTCTTCCACCTGGAACTGCTCGCTCCTAGCCGAGGTGGCCTCCCACGCCTCGGTCTCCCGAATGAGCCGCAGCATGCCCGTGAAGCCAGGCGGTCTCCGGTCCAGCCGCATCCTCTTCAGCTTGACCTGGAGCATCTCGTTGGGGCGGGCCCGCATCAGCACCTGCTGGGTGCGGAGCTGGTCTGCAGTGGCGGGATGGATGGCGCCACTCTCCACGGCCGACTGCAGCAGGCCTTCCAGGCGCATCACATAGGCACGGAGGGTCTCCTGGGGCAGCTGGGCACAGGTCAGGAACTTCAGGCGTGCGGTCATGCGGGTGTCCCTGTCCCCAAACACCTGGATCAGTGCGGCCAGGCAATCCTGCACAGGGGTGTCGGGATTCTCTGCCAGGAGGCCGCACACCAGATCCCGCGCGGGGCCGTCCAAGCTCTCCACCAGCCGCCTCCGCCTCTCCCTTTCTGATACGTGGCACCACAGATAGAGCATGTCGCCGGTGTGATCCAGCCAGCTCTCAAAGGACCCTTCCTCTCGGTCTGGCTCTTCCAGCCCAGAGAAGGTTCTCAGGCCCACATAGGCCATACTTTCCAGCACAGGCTGCCAGGCCAGGCGCCAGTGCTGGGTCCAGGATCCTGCCGTTTCGATGGCTCCTGCCACACCCACGCCTCCTTCCGCACCTGAAGGCCCTGCCTCACCTGCAGCTCCTGCCATACTCACAGATCCCGTCACCCCTGCAATTCCCGTGTCACCAGCAGCTCCCTCCTCATCGGACTCTCTGGCTTCACCTTCAGCCCCGGCCTGGCCTGCAGCCCCTTCCGCGCCTCCATCTCCTGCCTCACCCCCGGGCCCTTCCCCTCCTGCGGCTCCTGCCTCACCCCCGGGCCCTTCCCCTCCTGCGGCTCCTGCCTCACCCCCGTTCCCTTCCCCTCCTGCGGCTCCTGCCTCACCCCTGTGCCCTTCCTCACGTCCATCTCCTGCCTCACCCCCCGCTTCTGCCGCACCTGCCTGGCCAAACCCTGCTTGCCTCTGGGCCTGTGCAGGGAAACTGGGTCTATCCTGTGACTCTGACTCTGGGGCCTGGGGCAGGAAGACCACAGTCCAGGGCCCTCCCTTGCCTGGTATTTGTTGGGGGATCAAACTTCGGTTTAAATACTGAGGAAACTCGACCAAAGCAACCCTGGATCCGAGCTCCTTTCTGAAAACCTTGCCCAGCACTCGGTGTGTGCCCAGGGGCCGTAGCGCAGCCTGCACGGCCTCCTGGAATTCCTGGTCCTCACAGTCGTCGGGAATGCCCAGGATGAGCAGCGAGCGTTGCTCANCCCTCCTGCGGCTCCTGCCTCACCCCCGTGCCCTTCCCCTCCTGCGGCTCCTGCCTCACCCCTGTGCCCTTCCTCACGTCCATCTCCTGCCTCACCCCCCGCTTCTGCCGCACCTGCCTGGCCAAACCCTGCTTGCCTCTGGGCCTGTGCAGGGAAACTGGGTCTATCCTGTGACTCTGACTCTGGGGCCTGGGGCAGGAAGACCACAGTCCAGGGCCCTCCCTTGCCTGGTATTTGTTGGGGGATCAAACTTCGGTTTAAATACTGAGGAAACTCGACCAAAGCAACCCTGGATCCGAGCTCCTTTCTGAAAACCTTGCCCAGCACTCGGTGTGTGCCCAGGGGCCGTAGCGCAGCCTGCACGGCCTCCTGGAATTCCTGGTCCTCACAGTCGTCGGGAATGCCCAGGATGAGCAGCGAGCGTTGCTCATTCACGCCCATCCACCTGCACCAGTCACGCAGCATTGCCAGTGCCGTCGCCATTGCTGAGAACCTGAGGGCGGAGAGAAATGATTGGAGAGGGGCACACAGACTGTCAGAGTGTGAGCCTCAGCCCGTGACTGCAAAGGGGTGAAAGGCATGTTCATAGCACACAGTCCACTCCACCACACAGCCACAGCCCCGTGCTCTGCACGGTGGTGGCCTGTTGTGCCTCTCCTCCTGCTTTGTTTGATTTTTCAAACCTTTTTGATACTATATGAATCTATTTACTAGATATAGAGCTAGTCACATTTTCTCTTTTTTTCTGGTATCACTTTTAGGAAGTTGCTTTTTCTTTCCAAGGAATATGTCAAGGTTTCAAATTTTTGATGTAAATTTTTCCTAACATACCCTCCCTTCTCTTTTTAATATGTGTCTGATCTATAGCGACAACCCTCTTTCATTCCTGATATCGGTAGTGTTCCTTTCCTTTTTTGTTGATTAGTCTCAATAGGGCTTTATCAGTTTTGTTTCTCTTTAAAAAAAATTTGGGGGGCACCTGGGTGGCTCAGTCAGTTAAGCCTCTGACTTCGACTCAGGTCACGAACTCATGAGTCAGGTTCATGAGTTCAAGCCCCATGTCGGGCTCTGTGCTGACAGACAGCATAGAGCCTGGAGCCTGCTTCAGATTCTGTGTCTCCATCTCTCTCTGCCCCTCCCCCTCTCCTTTTCTCCCTCCCTCTCTCTCAAAAATAATAAACATTAAAAGAGTTTTTTAATTTTTAAGTTTATTTATTTATTTCTGAGTGACAGAGTGAGACAAAGAGAGAGAGAGAGAGCTGGGGAGGGGCAGGGAGACAGAGAGAATCCCAAGCAGGTTCCGCACTGTCAGCATGGAGCCCAGTGTGGGACTTGAATTCACAAACTGTGTGATCATGACCTGAGCCAAAACCAAGAGTTGGAGACTTAACCCAGTGAACCACCCAGGCTCCCCTTGTTTCTCTCTAAAATTTTTTTTAAACCCAACATACGGCTTTGTTCAATGTCTCTATAATTTGCTTTCTTTTAAAAAAAAATTTTTTTTTACTGTTTATTTTTGAGAGAGATACAGCACAAGTGGGAGAGGGTAGAGAGAAGGCGACACAATCTGAAGCAGGCTCCAGGCTCTGAGCTGTCAGCACAGATCCCAATGCGAGCCACGAACCCAAGAACCATGAGATCATGACCTGAGCCAAAGTTGGACGTTTAACTGACTGAGCTACCCAGGTGCCCCTATAATTTGCTTTCTATTACTCATTTCTTCTCTTAGCTATAGTATTTCTTCAGTCAGCTCATTTTGCATTTACTTATTTTTCTTTTTATAGTTTCTTTAAATGGACCATTAGATCATTGACTTTATGCCCTTTTTCTTTTTTAATGTAAGTATTTAGAAAAATACATTTTCTTCTAATTGCTTCTTTGGCTGCCTCCCACTAATTTCAGTAAGTTGGGGGGTTTTTATTTTTCAGTTTAAAATATTTTCTAAGTTCCTTCATGCTTTCTTCTTTGAGCCATGGGTTTCCAATACTTAAAAGTGTTATCCTTAATAATTTTAAATAAAATTCCCCTGTGACCAGAGAACTTATTATGCAAAAGCACAATACTTTAAAATCTATGGAGACTTTTCTATGGCCCAACATACAATGTATCTGCGTGATTTTACAAAGCACCTTTGTAAAGAATATATTTTCTGTGGAGGACAAGGGCTTGCCCCTCCCACTGCGGGGATCCTTATTCCATCCCCCACAGAGGCTCCGAAGCCCCTCAAGAACCCTCCCATGGCCTCTGGCAGTGGCGGTACCCTGCAGAGCACCCCCTCCCCGCACCCAGGCCCAATGCTTTAGGCGCACAGCAAAGCGTCCTCAGTACCGCGCCCCACCGGCGGGCAGCGCACTTCCAGTCCCCGGAAGCGGAAGCGGGGCGCCCTGGCATGCTTACACACTAGCCTTCCTCTCCGTGCCTCCTCCCAGCCGCTACCCCTCCTTCCCCTGCTCTCCACACCGGCAGGCAGGCGGTCACCCTCCGCCGTGGCCCCCGCGTCCTCGCCTGCACTCGCTTGGTCGTTAGCCATCCCCTACGGCCTCCCCACACCAAGGAGTCCTCCCACTGGCGCCTGCTGGCAGGGGCCCTTCCGTCCCCAACCCAGAGCAGGAGCCCCCCAACTTCTTGCCAGGGGCAGTTGGCGCCCTTCTTTCCCGCTCCCCCTTCCACCGCCACACAGCTGGGTAGCTCCCCCGACGCCTCCCCATCCTCCCTCACCTCAGCAGGGCGCCCTTCCCCCTCCGCCCCTCCCCAGAGTAACCGTTAGCCCTCCCACCGCGTCTGGGGCACCGGGTGCCCTTCCTCTCCTGCACCCCCCACACCTGTGGCCAGTAGCTCTCTCCCCCTGGCCCCTGAAGTTGGCCGCCACCCTCCCAGCGGCCAACCTGCCGTCTCACCACCCCACCTGGGAATCGTTCCCGCCCCTCCCTCCTCCCGGAGCCGCCGGCAGTGCTCCCCTCAAGCCTCCAGCCTCTGGCACGCGGGAGCCTTCCTTAGCCCCCACCGGAGCGCCCTCCAGACCCCCCCCCTCAGCCGGCAAGCCTCCTCTCAGCCTCCGACGCCACGGAACCCTTCCCTCAGCCGCCCAACCTTTGCCCCAGAGCCCCCCCCCCCCACGCCCCGCTCCCACACGCCCACGTGCTTCGGCGTTAGTTCTCCCCTCAGACGTCTCCTCACCCGGGAGCCCTCCCCACCGGTCCCTCATGCGAGCCCTCCGTTCCCGTCCCCGGGCCCCCACGCGGGCCCTCTGTTCCGGCCCCCCCCCCACGAGCCCTCTCTTCAGGGCCCCCGGCCCCCCACGCGGGCCCTCTGTTCCGGCCCCCCCCCCACGAGCCCTCTCTTCAGGGCCCCCGGCCCCCCACGCGGGCCCTCTGTTCCGGCCCCCGGGCGCCCCGGTTCCCCATGCACGCCCGGTGTTCGCGCCCTCCGGTCCCCCATACGAGCCCTCTGTTCCCGCCACCCTCTCACCCACCCCGGCTCCCCGCCCGGGCAGCTGCCGGCGCCTCCGAAGTCCCGGCCCCGGCAAGGCCCGTGCCCAGAGCCTCACCTGCTCCCGCTCGGTGGCCGCTGACTCCGCGCTCCCGCTCAGAAGGGTCTGAAGAAGTCGCCTCAGCCTCACAGCCGGAAACCGTGTGACCGACTCTCCCAAGCACTCGGTGAAAAGGCCGCGTGGGCTCCCAGCTATCCCAGAAGCCCCCAGGCGAAGAAGCGAGAAAGTTCTCGGCGGTGCGTGCTTTACGGAGCAAATGATTGGCCGGGGAGAGCACGTGAGGAGGCGAAATGTTACTGTAGCGACTGGCCCGCGCGAGGGGTCCGGGGCCCGCTGTTCCCAGGCTCCGAGCCTCCGGAAGCAAAAGCCCGGGCAAGTTGACTTTCCACCAGAACGACGGCCGGTCAACAGGCGGCGGAGTCGGAACGGGTGGACTTGCAGGTGGAGAGCTCGTTGTGGCAAATTGGTCAGATTTTCTTTAGTTTGTTTTCTATTGTGCTTGGGAAGGTCACAAAGATGTTCTATATTTTTATTGATTCTTTAGCCGGCTGTATCAATTGCTGAGGCAGAAGTATGAAAAATCTCCACCTATAATTGTGGGAAAGTCTGGTTTTCTTTTTATTCTGCCAACTTTCATTTCATATATTTTGCAGCTCTTTTATTGGGTGCAAGTACATTTATAAATTCTGTGTTCCTGATTAATTGACGCTTATATCTTTATTACTTTTTATGTCAGGCGATAGTCTTTGTCTTTGAATATATTTTCTCTAATATATTTAAATATATATATATATACATATCTCTATATTAGATAGATCTCTAATATAGCCATTCCCACCTCCCTTGGGCTTACTATTTGCAGGGTATATAATTTGGGATTCTCTTACTATCAACATATCTAAGTCTTGAATTTTAAATTGCATCTCTTGTAGACAGCAAAATCCTTGCTCCTTCTTCATTCTGACAATCTGCGCCTTGCAATTGCAGTGTTTAACCTGTTAACATTGAGTATAGTTTTTGAACGGTTGGATTTAGATGTATCCTCTTACTGTCTGTCTTAGTCTGTTCCTGAGGCTGCTATGACAAAATATTTATTTCTCACAGTTCTGGAGTCTGGGAAGTCCAAGATCAAGGCACTGGCAAATCGTGTGTTGGGTGAGAGCCCACTTTCCGGTTAACAGACAGCCATCTTCTCACCATGTCCACAGAAGTGGGTGAGGGACCTGTCTGGAGCCTCTCTTAAAATGGCACTACTCCCATTCAAGGGCTCCTCCCCATGACCTAATCACCTCCCAAAGTCGCCACCTCCTAATGCACTGGGATTAGGATTTAACATGTGAATTTGGGGCAGGACGCAAACATTCAGTCTGTGGCACTGTCTGTCCATCCATTTTTGTTCCTATGTTCTCCTTTTCCTGCCTGAGATCATCAATTATTTAAAATTCCACCTTAATTTATCTATTGCTTTTTTAGGCAATTATCATTCTGCATTGTTTTATAGTGGTTGCTCTAGAAACTATAATATCTACCCTTAACTGTTCACTTGTCTACTTGCAGTTAATATTGTACCACTTTACATAAACGTAAGAACCTTTCCACTATATAGATTTATTCACTCTCTGCCTCATCCCTTATGCTGCAGTTGCTATATGTGTTATGTCTCCCTCTATTATAAACCCTGCAATAGGCTATTATAATTTTTACTTCGAATAGTCATACGTATTATAACGATATTAAGAGCAAATGAGTATTCTTTAATATTTGCCTACATGTTTACCATTTCTGGTGTTCTTCATCTCTAACCAGATATCAAATTTTCCCTCTACTATCACGTTTCTTTAGATTGAAAGACTTCCTTTATTATTTCTGTTAGTGCAAGTCTGTTGATAAATCCCGTAGCTTTCATTTATCTCAAAAGGTCCTTATTTCACCTTCGTCTCTAAAGAATCTCTTTCCCGGGTCTAGGTAGAGAATTCCGAGTTGAAAGTCGTTTGTTGTGGTTGTTGTCGTTCGGCACTTTATAATGTTGTTGAACTGACTCCTGCGTCCATTGTTTCTGATGAGAACTCAGTGGCGTTCTTGTTAGTGTTCTCCTATATGGAGTGCTTCATCTAATTCTGACTGCTTTCAAGGTTTTCTCCTTATCCCTTGTTTTCAGTAATCTATGATTCTACTACATGTGGTTTTTCTTTGTACTTCTTCTCCTTTGGGTTCACAGAACTTCTTGAATCTAAATTGTGTCCATCTCCAAATTTTGAAAATGTCGGTCATTATTTCTTTAAGTGGTTTTTCTTCCCCATTCTCTCTTTTCCCTCCTGGGATCCCAAAAACACGTGTTAAACCTTTTCATGCTGTTTCACAGATCACTGAGGTTCTATTCTTTTCTTTCCTGTGTAAAATCTTTTTTCCTCTCAGTTTCTTAGAATGGATCATTTCTACTGATCTTTTTCCAATGAGTAATATGAAGCGTCTAAATACTCATAACTATTAACAAGCACCAATGCTAATAAAAAGGATGGTGCAAGAGGAGCCAATAAAGAATTGTGTAAAGACCTGTCAAGTTCCAAGAGCACATGGCAACCAGGGCAGGGAGCACCTACCACAGTGGGAGGTCACGCAGCCTCTGCAGAAACCTGGTCCATCATAGTTCTTACCTACACACAACAGAAGCAGACTTGCTGCTGGACGCACAAAGGCAATTAGCTGAAGGATGGCAGGTGTCCTTCGGTGTTTGGGGAGGGCGGGAGATCCAGGCTTGGGGCCTTTGCAGAGAGGAACAAGGGTCTGAATGGCACTGCAGTGCTGGGCTAGTGACGGCACCTCTGAAGCTCCCTCCCCAGACTGGGCACAGACGCTGGTTTGTGCCACTAATGTAAGACACACGCGCTGTTGTGAGAACCACAGCTGCCGCTGCTCCTCGAGGAACAGATCTTACTGCCCCTGCTGCCACTCGCCTACCCTAATGGAATATGTGTGGCCCCTGCTTCTTCCCATCTCCGGCCCCGGATTCAGTTGGCAGCAGGTGCATCTGATTGGTGGGGCCAGGTCATGTACCCATGCCCTAGCTGCAAGGGAAGCTGAGAGAATACAGACCTGGCATTTTCTGCTCCTTTTTCTGGGAGGTGGGCTTCACATCAGCTGAGGGAAATGCATGTGTAAAGGTCCTGGGGCTGAAAGAAATACGATGAGTATCAGACTGAAAGAAGACCAGGGTGGCTGGAGCAGAGACAAAGAGAGAGAGACAGGGGTGCGGGTGGGTGGGTGGGAGGGGGATGCCATGCACTGAGGCTGGAGAGAACAGATCATACAGTCTTCGTGGGCCTTAGGGAGAGGTTGGTTTTTACCTAAAGGAGTTGGAAACCCACTGAAAAGTTTGAAGCCACTTCAAGTACAAGTGTACTCATGTGTATGTGACATGATCACAGCATATTTCCAGGCGCTGTAGCTGGGTTTCTTTTGGAAGAATTATGAGGGGAGGGAACGAAGTGGATGCAAAAAGCCTACTGAGGGGCAGTTGGGGCTTTCCCATGAAAGATGATGGTGGCCCGAACACTAGTGGTGGCAGTGTCATTGAACTGATAGGGCAGATTTAATAGACCTAAAACACATGAAGAACTAAGCAGACACCATGAATAATTGGGTGTGGAAGGTGGACAAGGGACACATTCTCAATTTCTGGCCTTTGACATGGGGATTCCAATCACTGTGGCTGGGGACTCAGGAAGAGCACCAGCCTGGGTAGAAAATCATGAGTTGAATTTTGAACATGTGAGTTGGAAGCATCCAAGGGGAGATGTCTAGAATGCAGCTGGATATAAGGGATAGGGACTCTGAGGAGAGGTCTGGGCTGGGGACAGACTGTGGCATTATGGAAAGCTCCAGGTGGTCCAGGGATAAATCCACGTATAGACATGTCTCACCTGCCCCTCCTCCCAAGTGTAGACATAGGCCTGGGGATGGGCCGCGGGCGGAAACAGGCGGTGGGGAGCAAGGCACAGCTGGTCCAGTTTGGCCTAGGCTGAGTAGCTGTCCGAAGCTGCTGGAAGGTGAGTTTCTCCTCCACCATGACATCTTGGAAAAGCTAGATAGTTCTCTCAGGTCCCTATGATTACTGATCCGTCTGGCCACAGCCCCTGTCACCCAAAGGAATGCCTGGAGACAGGGCAATGCTGGCTGCCCACCCCCCCCCCAGCAGCCATTCCCCCTTTCTTCTTTGCTCTGAGGACCCTCTTTTTGTTTAAGTGTCTGTCCCTCCCCCACGCAGCTCAGGATATGGTAACACCCCACCCCCAAATCCAGAGGCAGATCTGATTGGTCCAAGGCCAGCTGCGCATGGCATTCCTAGGGCAACTATTAGTGATCTGGGCAGCCCATCACCCAAATGGCCCAGCAGGGTAGAAGGAAAGGATTCACATCTTGTCTGAGGAGGAGGTCTTCCCTTTCTTTGGGCCGGATCAAGGAAGCATGTGGTCCCAATTGCTCCTAACAGACCTTCCCCAGCACACAGAGAGCAGCCGGACTCCAGAGCCAAGACTTGATGCTAGAAAGAGGCTGGGTCTTGGGGCAGTGTAGCACCTAGGGACACATAGTGGGGGGGGGGGCATCAAGGGACAGGGGTAGGCACACTGGGAAGGTCAGTGAAGGGAGAGGGTGGCCACATTAGGAGGGACAGTTGAGGGACAGTGGTAGCGACACTGAGGAGGGACAGTGGTGGCCACACTGAGGAAGGATAGCAAAGGAACAGTGTTGGCTCCCCTCTGGGAAACCCAGGGGCCAGAGCAGCAACTGCAGTCATCAGAGAAGCCCCAGCTCCACCTGAGCTTCAGGTCCACAAAAGCCAAGGTGGGCTGTTTGGAAGAGAGGGGTTTGCTCCCTCCCGGCACCCAAGCCCAGCACCACTGCCCCCACCGTCCTCGCTATGAGCGCCCCATCAAACCTCAGGGACTCCAAGGCTATGAGGACTGGCCCCACATGTGACATAACATCTTCCACCGCATGAGCCACTCGGTGTTCTGACCCTTGAGCAGGGTAAGGGTAAGGAGCAGCCCACGTGACCTGGAGCCCTGATCGCCACGCACATTCCCAGCTACTGCACGCCCCAGGGCTCCTGTCTCCCAGGAGTACAGTTTGGACAGCCCCCTCCTCCACCCACAGGCTCCACTCCATCCATCATGCTACCTTCACCACAGGGGTGCAGAGGTGCGGGGACCTGCGTTGAAACACCTCCTGTTGTCCATCTGTCCACAAACAAACTCCCCTCACATGTCAATCCTAGGCTCTGTCCATGACCCTCGGTTAGTGTCTGGGGCTGGGGGACACCACTCAAGGCTCTGCACATACCCCAGACCGCCTTCCTCCATGAATGGGCTGGCAGAGCAAGTCAACCACAGTGTAGGTGACATAGGGGCTTGGGGGGGGGGGAGCATCCGGGCACCACCCAGGGCCAGCCACCTGCAAATTTGTCCCATGGCCTCCTTGGGCCTGGCCTTCCTACACCTGGCTCGGACCCCTCCCTCCCTAGTGAGAAGTTTACTCACTTCCCACTGATGACTTGGATTACCCTGGACTTCTTCTTCAGTCCCCTTCCCCACTGGGGTCCCTGCGACCTGCTGCAGCGTGGTCAAATCTGGGGCTTGCTGCCCTCAGGGCACTGTCTGCTGCCTGCAGTGGGTGAGGCTGCCTCTCTCAAGGAAGATTCAGTCTCCTCCCACAGTCAGGGGGTGCAGATGGGAGGAGAGATGGAGCAGGAAGGCCCTGTGCAGATAGATCTCTGTTGGAGCTGACGGGTGCATCCATGGGCATTTGTTAGATTAATCTCTCTGGGCTTGGCATGTGTTTGAGATTCTTCGTAATAAAAAAAAAATTGAAAAACTTCTAGAGGGGAGATTTTTCTCCTGATACAATTATGGGTTTATCAGTTTCTCTTTGTAAGTCTATCACTTCTGCTTTAGGCATGCTGGTGCTCTCCGGAACTAACTGTAGTAATGCCACCGTGACCACCTACATGATAACCCAAAAGAGTTGAAGACAATTACGCGGGGTCTCTCTCTTCTGTTTTGATAGCCCTGTGACAACTCGTCTACAGGGGACGCTGGGATGCACTCCCAGAACCTGCTCCCGGCCTGTGGTTCCCACTCCCCTCCTTCCATAAAGGTTGAATGTTCCAGGCCAAAGGAGCTACCTTATCTGAGTCTGCCCCCTCCACCATCCCATTACTACTGGTTGGTGTGGGGCAGAAAGGCTCAGCCCCTTTCCCTCAGCACGCTCAGCCCGTTCCCCCGGGTATGAGTTTTCCGGGGCTGCTGCGATAAATTCCCACAAGCCAGGTGGCGAATATCTACGGGAATGTATGCCCTCATGGCTCTGGAGGTCAGAAGCCCAAACTTAAGGTGTCAGCAGGGCTGCACTCCTTCCAGAGTTGGGAGTGGGGGAGTGCCTTCCTTGCCTCTTCCGGTTTTGTGGGGCGCTAAGCATTCCTGGACTTGTGGCCGCACCCCTCCATCCTCCGCCCACACCTCCATGTGGGCTTCTCTCCATGTGTCTCTTCTGTCTCTTACAAGGACCCATGTCATTGGATTTAGGGCACACCTGGAGAACCCGGGATGACCTCAAGTTTACTTCATCACACCTGCAAAGACCCTTTTTCCAAAAAAGAGGTCACAGTCACAGATTCCAAGAGTTAGGATGTGACACATCTTCTTAGGGGCCACCATGCACCCAACTAGACCTCAGGAGCCCAGGCCCAGGCTTGCCCAGCCAGTCTCCCTGTGAAAGGACAAGATGGAGCATCAGAGCCCACAGCGAAGGACCACAGGGGACTCCTCTGCCTCTGTTCCAGGGAAGGGCCCCCCAAGCTGTGCTGCACTTGGTCTTCTGCGAGCCCTGCTCCCTGCAGCCAGAAGCACCTTAAGTGAGTGTCCCAGCTCTCCCCCTAAGCCAGGGGCAAGTAGCTGCCTTCCGGAGAGCATGGGCATGCTGAAGGCCTCTCACTGCACACCAGGGCTCTCCTGGCCCGGGCCCAGGGCCGTTTGACAAAAAGAGGTGAATGGGCTCTGGTTTTGTAAGGAGGGGTACAGCTCAGAGGCAGAGAGGGTGTCACCTTATACTCAATTCCCAGCCTGCCGCCCTCACCTGGCGGGATGGTGGGTGAGACATGCTGTAGGCGGTTCTTCCTTGTTGCTTTTCTTTGACAGCCTTTTTCATGGTCCTGACCTCAAGTAACTCATTATCAGCGGAGCATGTGTCCCTAGGCAGCCCTAGATCTCAATCCAGATTCTGCCCCATGGATGGTGACCTGTAGGAAAATGGAGACCCCAGTGCCCAACCTGCAGACCAGCTCAATGGTCACGGAAAGGTCTAGGGGGCAGGGGCGGCGGATGGAAAACGGGTGTAGCTCTTCACCTCCTGCTATTCTCTTGCCCTCATCTGTCTGCACACGGACCTCCCCTAGGTGACCCCTCAGTGCACCCCGTTTTCTCATCTTTGCCCTCCTGGCTTAAGTGCGTCGGTCTCTTACTGGGTGTCCCCACAGCGTCCCATGGATGCCAAATGGATGAACAAATGGCTGGACGGACATAAAACTCCGGGGTCTGACCCATGGGAAGTGCTCAGCCAATGCTGCCCCTCCCCTGGCCCCTTGGGGGACCGTGGCGGGCTGCCCACTGCTACTTAAGTCCTCAGTGCAGCCCAGATGAGAAGCAGAAGTGCCCCAGAGAGCGCTGGCAATCAGGCCAGAACCCCCGTGGGGCGCGCTGGGACCCGTGCCGGCCGAGCCGCCCTCCCGCTGCGACGCGCATGCTCCATGCCCCCCACCCCCCGCGCTGGGTTCCCACGCCGCCGCCGCCCCGGCCCCGCCCGCTCCCAGCCCGCGTCCCGGCCCCGCTCGTCGGCTCTAGACAGACGACAATGGACGGCCTAGCAGAACGCGCCTCCTGAGAGTGGCGCCCAGGGACCAGGTCGAGAGCGGGCGGGGAATACCGTCATCTCCTGGGGCCGCTGTCCCGGAGGGCTTCTCGGAGGCGGCAGCCTTGGCCTCTCGGGCCTGCCGGGGGCGGGGTGTGGAGGACGGACAGCCCTGCGGCCAACAGAGTCCCAGTACTCTGGCCTGGCAGGGCTGTGGTGGCCCCGGGAGGGGGGGGGCGGCGGGCGGGGGAGGGGGCGTCTCGGCAGGTGGCGAGGGGGCGAGGGAGAGGGCCCTCGGGAAAGCAGCGTGTGTTTATTGACTGCGGTTCGCCTCTGATCCTGGAGCTGGCAAGAGAGCACCCGGCTGGTAAGTTTGGATTTTGCGCCCCTGTGTGTGGGAGCGCTGGGCAGGCTGGCAATTCAAGGTCGCGGCACTCCTGCTCAGGGGCACCTGGCGAACTCCGCAGGCACAGGCAGTAAGGGTCCCAGACGAGTTCTGGTCGCTATCAAGGGGAGGGGGCGGTGGTGCCCCTTTCTGGTGAGACCATTGGTGGTGAGGAGCACACCGGGAGAAGGCTTCAGAAGAGGAAGCCAGGGTTGGGATGGAAGGCCCGCAAGAGCGAGAGAGGGAGTGAGCTGAGCTGAGTGGGGACCTAGCAGTCCTCCAGTCCAGCAGATATGTGCCGGGCAGCCACTGCGGACCCGGCTGCTGCGGGCCAGGCTGCTGCGGGCCTTGGAGATATGACAGGAAAGGGAAGGGCAGAACCTGCCCCACGTGGGTCCCGGTCTAGTGACAGGGCACACACAATAGACAGCAAACATCTTAAATTAAGAACGATAGAGTGTGTTAAATGGTGGTAAGTGCCATGGAGAAAATAGAGCAGACAGAAGGAGGTGAGGGGTTGGGCTGCAAGTTTAAGTAGTGTGGTTAGATGGCAATATTTCTGAAACACTAGAAGGAGAAGGAGACGAGAGAGTGTACTAGGCAGAGGAAACAACCAGTGCAAAGGGCCTGAGGTATGAGTGGCATGGTGTGTGGAAGGGAATGCTCAGAGGACAGTGCGGCAGGAGCAGAGGGAGCCAGCAGGTGGGAGGAGGAGAGGGCAAGGCCAGGAGGGGCCATGGGGGTTTACTCTAAGTCAGATGGGCACCCCGGGGAGGGCCGTAAACAGGGAATGACAGAACCCCATTAGGAGGTGGCCCTGTTTATGATCAGTTCAGCCTTGGCCCGCACCCCCCAGGGCAGGGGAGACCCCAGTTGCAAGGCTGGTCCTCAGAGGGCGTTGTTGGGTCAAGCAGCATTGAGGGCCCTGGGGTGACCTGCGGCCTCCCTAGGCCCGGGGCCCTCGGGCCTGCCCGTGGGGTGGGCTGCAAGCGCTGAGGTCCCCAGGGAAGGCTGCCGCAGCCAGGAAGGCAGCCGGGGTCCCGAGGTGCCAGGCACCAGAGGAAGTCCCGCCAGGAAGGAAGAAGCCTGACCGCAGAGCCCTGCGCCACTCCTCCTCGAAGATGAAGAAGCCTGATCCCGCCTGTGTGGGAGTGCTGCCTGCCTTTCCTGGTGTTTGTTTTCTGTTTTCTTTTTCTGGGGAAATAGCCCCATCTCGCGGTCCTCTGCAGGCACCAGCGCCGAGGCCCACTGGCTGCCTCTCCAGGTTTCCAGCCGTGATTTCATTTAGGCTGGCAGCACTGCTCCTCTGGCCCCCCGGAGGGGAGGCCCCACACACGCAGCTTTACTTGGGCCAGTCGGCAAACGGAGCAAGATTCTGCTCCCCTCCTTAGGGTGCGCCAGCCTTGGAGGCGGCTGGTGCACGGCACCCGGTTACCCAGGCTTGTCACCTGAGGCATTGGTGTCTCGGGGACCTTCCTCCGTATGCCTGGTGTTCGGTTTGGGGGAGACCGAGTTTCAGGATCTGGAATCATCCTTCAGCTTCCTTGCTTCGGCAGCCCACCAGGGTCTTAGGAGAAACCACTCTCCACGTCCACAATCTCCTTCCTGATTCTTCTTATGCATGTGCTCAGGGGTGTCAACCCGTTCCTGCCTGAGGGTTCCTTGGCACAAGGGTCTGTGAGGTGAGCTTGCCATATCTTTCTTTCCAGGATTTGAAAGCAGGCTGACTTTGGGCGACTGGGTCTCAAGTATGGACACTTGTGTGTGACCACTTCGCATGGTGGGCCCCTGGATGCATCTTGTGGTGTTGAACTTCAGTGCTGGTGTCTGTCTACAGGCTAACCCTATTCATAGTGTGTTCCTCTCGGGCAGTCGCACGGCTCAACCATGTCTTCTCTCTTGGGGCCTTGGAAGGGACTCCAGCATGTTGAGGGTGAGGGGGCGTGGCTAGAAATAACATTTCTTCCTTTCCACTTGTGTATTTTCCCAAGTGTATCATGATCTGGTGGTAGTCATGGTATGGTGGTAGCTGTGGTATGGACAAATAGATTTATGCTGTTTTTCAAAACATCTTGACACTGGTCTGAAAACCTGTGCATACCACGACTATCCCCTGGTCCTGACACCTTTAGCTGGTGCAGGTCCCCCGGTGGCTGCCTGTGTCATAATGCAACACATGCGACCTGTGGACATCACAATGATTACTTTTTGGCCCCCCCTTTTTTTTGAGATGAGATTCACATAACATAAAATTAGCCATTTTATTTATTTTTTTCTAAAGGTTAGTTATTTATTTTGAGAGAAAGAGAGAGAGGGAGCTCAAGGTGGGGAGGCATGGAGAGAGAGACAGAATCCCTACCAGGCTCTGCACCATCAGCACAGAGCCTGACATGGGGCTTGAACACACTAACTGTGAGGTCACGACCTGAGCTGAGATGGAGAGTCAGACGCTTGACTGACTGGGCCCCCCAGCTGCCCCTAATGTTAGCCACTTTAAAGCCAACAATTCAGTGGCATTAAGTACATTCACAGTGTTGTGCACCCATCACTACTATCTAGTTCCCAAACCTTTTCATCACCCCAGAGAGAAACCCCTTCCAGGAAGGCACCCATCCGTCTGCTCTCTGCCCCTCTGGATTTACGTGTGCTGGGGTTATCATGTGTTTTATAAGATTTAAAGATAGCTTTTGCCGGCAAATCACACGTCGGTGACAGTCGGAGAGATGAAAGGCAGAAAGAACTCTGTTGCTTACAGCTCCAACGCAGAGGAGGCTGCCACGTGCGGCCACGCGGGGGTGCACCTGGGGTAGGGCTGGGACCCTTGTGCATTGGCTAATTTGGATGATCGCTCAGGCTCTGGGGCGCGGGGACTGTCCCTTATTGTCGGGCGCCTGGCCCCACAGCGTGGGAGTGTGAGAAGGGGGAGTGGGGGCCGTGTGTCCAGTGCTTCGAGAGACAGGCACCAATAAGGGAGATATTTGGGGTGGGGGCTTGGCAAACTGCCCTTCCAGAAAGGCAGAGAAAAGAGAGTCTTTAGACCTAACTTCAAAACTAGGTCAAGACAGCTCTTGTGAAATGTTATATTACATCGTATAAATGGGATCATACAGTATGTGGCCTTTTGTGTCCACATCTGGCTTTTTTCACTTAGCGTAATGTCTCCGAGGTTCACTTACACCATCGCGTGGATCAGCATTTCGCACCTCTTTACGGCCAAGATAACCTTCCATCATGTCTATAGACTACATTTTATTTGTTGTCTGTTGGTGGACCCTTGGGCTGTTTCCACCTTTTGGCTCCTGTCAGGCTGCAGTTAACGAGGGAGCATACGTTTTTATGTGAAAGCCTGTTTTCGGTTCTTTTGAACATATACCCAGGAGTGAAATCGCTGAGCCACACAACTTGTTGAGGTACCACCAAGCGATCTTCCCTTTTCATTTTGAACACCGTCAAGCAAACAGACGACTAGAGACAAAGTCTAAGGCCGCGCAGGTGCCCGCCTCCTGGAGCTGGCAGTGGCCTCATGCCTCCCTCCCTCGCCTCCCCCCCCTCTGCCTCCCCCCCCCCCC